AGCAAATTATTTAAACCGAGTTTAAAATAAGAACATAAAGAACGAACACAAGAAAGTAAGAATAAAAAAAAAAAGAACAGAACGTCTTTAAGGAAAGATATAGATTATAATAAATTTAAATCTCACTCAACTTTTTCTGAACGGTGCGAGGAAAATTTCTTCCGAACCGATATTTGTTGTATTGACGCTCGCGATATTGCTCGAGTATTTCAGTTTCGCATAAATCGGCCTCGATTGCCAGGTGAGTTTAAATTCAATTTGCTCACCAGCCGATGGTGCTCCTCTCTCTTTCTCTCTCCCTCGGTCGTCGCTTTCCCATCCGCCCCGGAAAGCCGCTCCGTCGCTCCGGAAACTCGTTCGCACAGATGCAGGTCCATCGAAGGGGCACTACCGATCACGACGATTACACAACGCGACAGAATAATCGCTCGTCTCTTTATACAGCACTTCCGGCGTTTATTGCGCGCGAAACTTTTTTGCGATGGACGACAAATTGTTCACGTGAGACGCAACAGATATGCGATAGTAGGAAGAAAAGTCTCTGTAGCAAATTGCCGTCAAGTTGTGTTCCAGAATCCGCGTGCGACACATAAATAAATACTTAACTTAGAACGAAATAAATATATAATGAGAAATACGGTGACCGCGTCCGCCATTCCTGACGTCGCGAGAATTCATTCTGAAATCTGTCGCATCTCGTCAAGTTCAATCATCGCCAACTTCACGCGATTTGCGTAGCTAATAAAAACTATTAGAATATAGGAACGATATGGAAATAGGAACGAAAAATAAGAAAATCGCAACAGAACAGAATATAGGAGACGAAATTTAAATATAATGATGGAATACATTATAATTTTTTATGGTTGTGTATTTTAACGCGCAATTAATATTGATTTTGATCGTAAATGTCTATCAACGCATGTGCAACCAAGTCATCTAACTTTTTATTCTAATTCGAGTATTTCTGATAGTGATTAAAGAATCTTTCTTAAATTTAAAAAAATTAAATATCGGGATTCATAATGAATATCTAATATCGTTTGTCAAATATCTAATCAATCAAATTTTCATAATGAAATACATTTCTATAAATCGCTGTAAAAGAACATCAAAAATACATATATACATATATGGTATATAATCATATTCATAGAAAATGTATATTTCCGTCATATTCATAATTTTCTCTATTTCACCTTTTACCTGGCACGATCGGTTATTTAATTCCATTTTTATCATGAAATATAGCAAAATGTTATTAATATATTAATTTCGAAGTTTTATATAAGTTTTATATAATCATTTTATATAATCATATATAATCATTTTTGACTATCGATTTGTCCTAAAACATGTCTGCGGGGATAGCACCAATATTTTCGTAAAATAAAAATACGCCATGTGACGCTTATAACAATAACTTGGATAAAGGAAATGAGCGTCATATACATGGTATAAATATATTTATACGAATATTTCGTTACATGATTGTGTCTACATATTATGACACATACAGTACTAATAAATGCTGTTTACTGCTTTTAACTGTATTCGTAGTGTAAAAGTTGATTAAACCTTTTTGATAAAATGCTTTCTCTCGCAACATCTCTATTCGACGTCCACATATCGAATACGTCTTAACAAATATTCGTATGTGTTAATAGTATTAACGATATGCGACAATTCGGCCAGTTCGGACAATTATAAAAAATCAGCCGGTCGCATGCCGACGGGGCTGAATCGTTCAATAAATTCATTGCATGCAGCTTTGTGACACTGATTTTGATAATCAAAAGAATTTTCGCGTATACAATCACAAGTAAAAATTGTGAATTTGTTTACGGTGTTATCCAAAATTAGGCACAGTGTGCCGTTATTTTATTTTCATCTAGTCATTCTATTTTCTTTATTGCAGACAGTCATTCTTCTTTGTCTTCTTTCTCTGTGCGATCTTATAAGCATCCTTTCCATCACGTATTAAACGCGTTCAATGCAGTTGCAAAGTGGAAAGGGCGTTCTCTAATACTGATTTACAAGCTCTTTAATTCTGATTTATTAGGTGGTAAAAAGTTGCTGAAAATACTTCGCTATGTAGGAAAAAGTACTCAAAAACATACAAAAAAATTGGTCGACTTTCTTGAAAGTTTTCCTTCATTAAAGATAGCTGCCGTATGTACTCTCCTCAAAAGACGTGATCCAAAGATTTATTATTGATATTGGGGAACTTTTGCGCGATAATACACTTTGAACAGGACAAGTAATGAGACTAGTTATTCACTGTGATGTGTGTATCTGTTTTAGAATTATTAACATCTAGATAAGCGATATTGTAAAAACCTCCAATATCAATAGTATTTTAATAGTAGATGGCTTGTTAGAATTAGTAATAGTCCTTTTGTGTTACATGCAATTGATATATCTAAGTGATACTGTTATGATATTTATCATATTATATATTTATCATAGAGCACCTAATACTGATGTCGCCGAGAATGAAAATTTCATTTTAATGTGTCGAAAGAAATGTTCATTTTAGCGAGAGATATTTGGACATTTGATTATCAAAATGAATACTCTGTCAAGTATAGACTATCCCTCATTAAATATCTTGGTTTCGATTTAAAAATATATTGTTGAACAATAGCACCAATTTTTGTTTCTCCAACTTTGTCCCTGTTAAGTGTAAACGTCAGTTAAAAATCAATGAGTTTGAGAACGGTTTTGAAATTTAAAAATCCCTGGGCGCATTCCAATTGCCTTTCTCTCAAAAGTTATATTAGAAAAATGAAAGCAATAACTTCTTGAAAAGACAGTCGTTATTATTTGATAGAAAAGTTTTATCCGATATTACAAACTTAGAATCATTATCGCACACTTCAATGCCTCGTGGAATGTGTTTGCAGTCAACTAGTATCGGATTTGCTTATCCTTTCTGAATACGTTACAAACTTGTAGAGACAAATTGAGTTCTATTTAGTATAGAGTATACTACACACGAGACTGTTGCCTGGTACTACGTAGCGTTCTGAAATCAGGCATGCGTCCCTTAGATATTTCATCATCTTACAGAAGCGTACACTTCCTTTTCTTCACTGGTTCAGGAGGTTCTAATGCAGCTAAAATAGCTTCGTCAAATACGTTCTTCAAACCTTTCTAAAATGTTAGAGAAAACGTAACTTTACATTATATTGTTTAAAACATAATAAAAATACTAGAATTTTATTTATTTAAAAACACGGATTTCTAAAACTGCATTATAGATTTAAATTTAAAGTAACATTTTATTGTTTTATCTTGTCTTAAGTGTTAAATATTTTTAAAAAATTAAAAGAAATATTTTTTATTATGTTTTACAAAATCTCTAATTAAAATAAAAATTATCAATTCTTTCTCACCTGCGTCAGAGCACTGCATTCTACATATTTTACAGCCTTGAGTTCCTTGGCGAGTTTTTCACCCTGTTCTCCAGATATTGGCTTCTGTTTGTTTTTTGCAAGTTTTTCTATTGTTGCGACATCATCTCTCAAATCAATCTGTGTTCCAACAAGTAAAAATGGAGTTCTCTGACAATGATGTGTTATTTCTGGTACCCACTGCAAAATAATAAAATTTTAATTAGTGCTCATGTAAACATATTGAACAATATAACAACAAATAATATTACCTTTTCTTTTACATTTTCAAATGACGATGGTGACACAACTGAGAAACAGACGAGAAATACATCAGTCTGAGGATAACTTAAGGGACGCAATCTATCATAATCCTCCTGACCTAAGAAAAAAAAGAGTAAAATTAAGTTATAAAACGTTATATATAATAAATTATCCATATTATAAAATGATGCAAAAAAGAAAGATATATTACCTGCTGTATCAAATAATCCTAATGTATAAGGGTCACCTCCTATCATCACAGTTACTGCATAATTGTCAAAAACAGTAGGCACATATTCAGAAGGAAACTTATTTGTAGTATATGAAATCAAGAGACATGTTTTACCAACCGCACCGTCGCCTACTACAACACACTTTATTGTCTGCATTTTGATATTCTTTATGTGATCTAAAATATAATAAAAATGCAATTAAAAAATTATTCGTATCACATGATAATCAGTAGTGTTTAAAAAAATTTATTCTTTATACAAATGCAAAACACATAGTCTAATCAATTGAGATTAAATTCGAATTTATATCAAATATCCAATATATTCCATGTCATTCAATTAAATGGTTTCTACTGTACAATTATTTTATTGATAATAAAATTACATATATGATTTAGACGTCATAATAAATATGATAAATGTATAATAAAATATTCTTTCGATAGAATACCAACAAAAATCATTGTATATAATAACACTGCGTAGCAATTATCCCGGCACAGGCAATCCTTCATGATTATATTTCACCCTTAACCTAACCTAAATATAGGCGTGTACCTGCGATGCAAGAATTGTTGAGATTTTCTTGTCGTGAAACATCGAGAATCTTTCACGTGGACGAGAGTTACTATCGACTTGGAACGCGAATCTCACGTTCGCAAATTCTTAAATATACGGAACTTGACGTTACCTGGATATGCGGGGCTGTCATTAAAGGTTACTTGCTGCCGCAGCTCATAATCCCGCAGGGCGAAAACGACTACGGGCTTGTCGTGGGCGAATGCAGTCTTCGGAGTCGCGCTTGACAACCACTGGCTTACGAATTGTTGTACAGTTATGCTCCAACTTTACGGGCACCTATCATGCCATGTATATTATTTTTTTCCTCGTCGACGACCGCGATTTTTTTATGTAGCTACGTAAAGTCAAGTTCTTATGCAGCGTCTACGATAAATAGTAGTAAGCTTTAGGGCCGCAGCATACACTTTTGCTAAGGCACAATGCATAACGCATAAGAAAATTAAGACCAATCAGAATCTTTCATTTCCATTTTTGGGGATAAAAATGGAGGACTATGATTGGTTCATTTTCTTTGCGTTATGCATTATGCGTTATGCAGAAGTGTGTGCGCGGCCCTTAAGCCATTGACCAATCAAAAATTGACCAATCACAATTGATTATTCTTTTTATATTAGAGGTTCTTTTCCTCTGCACTAGGACTGCACTCTCCTAATAGCACTCGTCTATTCTGTGAATGATGTTCCTGGGATATCATATAAGTATATTCGAGATATTCTCCGAACATTCGAAATACGTACTATGATATACTGTGGAATATACTTAGAATGTTATTACCGCTCACTATCTAATCTAATCCGTAATATGTACTGGAGAACATCCCGCGGTATGGCCATAGAATGAAAATGGTTTAGAAAAACAGTATATCATGTAGGACATGCATAAGAGTATCCCATATAGATCGTAAAAATCTATAATATACGTGACACCTCTTACAAAAAATAAGTGAAAAAATGAAAAAAAATGAAAGAAGTGATGAAACATTTTTTATCTTGTATCGTTGCATGTTTCTAAGGGAGGATTCACACCTTGACAGAAAAGCAGAAAATAGAAAAGCAGAAACTAATCAGAAATCAACAGAAGCCAGAATTCACGCGGAAATAAAGAGTACATTCTGCGACTATCAACGCAAGTTCTGATTGGCGTCTGCTTTTCTATTTTGCTATTCTAAATATTTAAAATCAAAAATAAAGTTTTTTAATATTAAATTTTTTTCTCATTATATGTTTGCATATAATTATGTGAATACATATAATTAAATATAATTGAATAAAAAAAAATAAAAAATATAATTGAAATTAAGGAATTACTATTATTAAAAAAAATTATTTAAATTCTACCGCGAGATCGCCATATTGGTTTAATTCTTCCCCGACTCTATCAAAGTGCGCTGAGTGTACCGTTTTAATGGTCTTGCAAATAACATGGGAACTGGTTTGCCTGGTAATCTCACATAGCCTATCTATCTGTTATATAAGCAGAAATTGCGGCTGCAACTCCTAACCTCATTTAACCTTCCAGTAGCTGATCACATTTAACATTCTGGCATTTGACATATGCTACCATCGTCAGAATGGTCCTATTGGAGAATGATGCGGTAACTTGGCATGTCATCACTAATATTGCTTTTTTACGTATTTATGATTAATTGATGAAATATCATTGCAGTTCTTAGCGGAGCTAACCAAACTCTTTGACAAATCGCGTCTTTCAGGCGCGGTGTCACTCACCATCAAAAGATGTAAATATCTTTCATGTTTTATTTTGAAGTTTATTTATTCTAAAGTTTGAAAGTAGAACAGACCATTCTTAAAAAAAAAGTTTAATTAAATTATTTGCATCAGTAGTCTTTGACTTTATTGAATTATACAACTTTGAAAAGAGGACAGAAAATCTAATTGTATAAACTTATATTATTTTGTAAATTTGTATAATTTATTTGCCTTTCTATCTTTTATTTATATGTTAAAGAACTCTGTTTCAGTTAATGGACACAACAAACCAGTGCCTAGGAAAGGCAGACCTCCCTTACCAACTCCTACGGAGTATCTTTGTCTAGTTCGAGCATCGCTTCGTAATAAGAAAATCTCAACTGTTGTATGTATCTTTCATCAGCGGATGATAATCAGTAATTGTTAACATACCTCTATGATATAACATACTTCTTCATTTTTCAGATTCATTCCAAGGATGTAAACAAATTCCAACAAGCATATTGGAATCTCTTGAAGACAAATATAAGTGGGCTAAAGAAATTAAAGAAAGCAAAATCAGCAAAGCCGAAGGTTCACTGACCCAGTGAGGGCTAACTGCATGGCAGTTTTTTTTATTTCTTTGTTATTAAAACTTTCATACTGTGTTCGCCATATATTTATCGACACTTGCACATCTGCTGTATAAGTCAGCGAGAATAGCGCGATTTGTACAGCATTTTGTATAGACTGATGTACAAAAGATTAATAATACTATTACGAAAGTACACACATGTGTGACCGCTAATGCGCGAATGCAATGGTAATATATGATTGCGAACTCGTACATTTATATAATAATAATGAAGCAATAAGAAATAATCATTTGATTAAGGAAATAATCCAAGTTCAAGGAATATAATCAGGATAACATATTTGGCGATCATTGAGACAAAATTTAAATAGAGCTTTATGTTGTCTTGTATTTTTCTGTTATTTGAATACATAAATCTAATATAATTAACTCATAATTCATTATATTTCTTGTATTCTTTTTATGATCTTAATATATGACAATATTTCTTTTTGTGAAATTTAAGCTTTAGGCATAAAATGCGTTATTACTTTTGACAATCTATTGAAATTTTGAAAATATTTTTATCTTCTAATGTCGATTCTCTCTATTTGTAAATAGTAGAATTTCAGCGATGTGAGTTCGAGGTATATTTATTTCTCTAATCATTTGTCGTAGAAATGTGTGTTGTCTTAGGTGAAGCGACCAGTTTTTGTCCCCGTTTCAAGATTTATAATGCTGAACTCTCAGGATGTTGCAAAAATACCTGGATTGATTTATCGTTTATGTCCGGTCATCTGAATAAATCTTTTATATGTACGACGGTCCTCAAAATCCGATTATTTAAGCGCTGCGTATATAAATCTACGGTTTATTTTAACGCTGTGAATTACATTTTGAAGATTTGTTAAAATTGCAGCCGTTCACGCCCATATCTTACGTTTATTGCGTCTCGGAATTTGGCTTGCGTTATTTTCGGCCCGAATAATATTTCATCACGATTTCTGCAATCATATATCTGCAATCAAAATTGCAAAGTCTCCATAAAAATTGATTTATTTTCTTTCTTTGTCATTTGATTTAAGAATAATTATCGAATGAGGATAACAAGAGGGTTTACGGAATCGCGTGATATTGTTTTGTTCACAATCAACTCGATTTTTATTTTTCACAATGCGCGAGTCACATTTTTCCTCAAATCCGACAATCTGCATTACGTATTGTCTGAATATTCTTTGGCACTGAATCCGAATGTGGACATTGTGCAAAATCTTGGGGGGCTGCCAGTGTAATATCTGATATAACGTGAATTTATTGTTGTATACATTACGGTCGTGAATAAACAAACGCGAACGAATCGTCATTCTTCGCGAATTCTCTATTACGTTTCGTTTCGTCGTCAAAGAATGACGTGGATTAGATGATAGGAAACTTTCAACTGTTTAAGAGACAGTCGAAGAATTTATTTCTTCTTGATGACTAAAGCGTTGCGGTTTGAAAAACAAACTATTAAATTTACGTTCAAAAAATTTTTTTATTATCAATTATAAAATCATTGTAATTCTCGTGATAAATAATGAAGAGCTGTTTGTCACTTGTAGCAACGAAATTTTATACCAATTATATAAGAATATATTAAGAATAATTGGGTGCATGGATAAATTGGCATAATTAACAGAAATAAGTACTGATTATGTAGTGTATATTCGAAAAAGATTTTTGTTTCGTTTACCTTGACATGATTGTCCAGTTCCAGAATGCGAGCTGTATCTTTTAAAAAATATCGTTCTTAAAAAATATACATTTTTCTGGCTGCGAATCAGGCTCAGAACAAGGTTTCGGATTATAAACAGAATATGAAAAAGTGAACACACACACACACACACACACACGCGCGCGCGCGCGCACACACACACACACACACACATCGATCGAAGAAGAAAACTGATGATTCAATTCAGAAAACAAAGACAATTCGAAAAACACTATATTTCCAATTAATATTTTTGTCAAAATTGTATCTTTGCTTTATTTCTCATTTTTCCGGAAACTTGGATTTCATAAATCTTATTCTTGATTATATTCTCAATAATTTTTTTGTTCATTTTTTTGTTCATTTTTAACTTTTATCTTGTATTTTTATCTTTCATGTCTATGTATATTTCATTCCTTTTCATCTTCGTAAAGCCCCCTTTTTGAAATTTGTAATCTCGTACCTGCTGGTGTTCATGACGCCGATCATGATAAATACATTGACGAGGGTGGCCATCTGCAACCTTAACACGATTCTATTTTTTTCGTGGATGCATCGACGCGAGGAGCGGCGCGGGGAGCGTCGTGAAATGACGCAATTCTCGTTTCGTTCTCGCGTGTCGTGGACGAGGTGGAGGCGGTCGCGGCGAAGAGGGATACCGAGGAGAGGAGAGGAGAGCCCGGACACTAAGAAGAAGAAGAAGAAGAAGAAGAAGAAGCGGTGTCGGCAGTCGGGCAAGCAGAACCGTACGAACCTCGATCGCGATCGCATCGTCGTCGCGTATCCTCCCTCTCGCACGCGCGTACGAAGAAAAAAAAAAAAGAAACGACTCGTTAGCGAGCCAGATTTTTCGATCGACGAATTAGCGATACCGCAAGTCGGAAAGCAGAACCGGAAGGGCGCCAACAGCTGCAGCGACCATGGTTTACGAGAGTGACTTCTACACGACCCGGCGACCCTACTCGCGGCCGCTCGTTTCTTCCTACAGCGTCACGGTCAGTATTCTTGAGAACTCTGGGGTTGTTTTGCGCCAAGAGAGAGAGAGAGAGAGAGAGAGAGAGAGAGAGAACGGCGTGGAAGTATGTCTTAATAATTGTTTTTGCTACACGTGGACAAACTAACGTCGAGAAAGAGAGAGAGAGAGAGAGAGAGACGCCCGTTGCGACACGTGTACCATCCCTTGTAACCGCCAGTATCAGCACGATCTCGCTGGATCACCCCGACGTCTCACCGGCATCCATCGGCCGGCATTTCTTCCCCGCGTGCATTCGCGCGAGGATTTACTTACTACGTTTTTTGACGTTAATGATGTTTAAATGTTCGAAATGCTTTGTTGATCCATTTCCCGAAACGTAGATTTGTGAATGTAAATGTCGTGATTTTCAATGATGAAGCGAGGATCGCGTTTTAACACGTCGGAGCGGAGTATGCTATTTTAACGTCACGAGAAAAATTGGTCCGGGGGAGAAATAATCGATTCGGGCCAAAACAGATTAAATAATTAATCGACGGTCGCCGATTGACGGGGTAATTATTCCGCGCGATCGCTGGATGGGGGTCAGCGTTTTATTTATGACACGCGATATGACGGCGACGATTTACATGCGGTTTAAATTAAAAATATTTAAGTAATTTTCGAATAAGGTTTTCTTTGAAGAGATGCCGAATTTTTTGTGTCTTCGAAGCAATCGTTATTAAGAATGTTTAAAAAAATATTTCTCATTTTTTTTATTGTTAAATTGATATCTCAATTTCTCGGCATATGTATTAAAAATAACAACGCAGTAGAAAAGAATTAAAGTAAATGTCTGACTCACATTTTTTTTTTATATTTTTGATATTTGTAAAAAATATCAGAATATATCCATGCAAGCAGCGATATTGGTATTTTTCAAACAAATATTTATTCATTTATTTATTTAAAACTTTGTTAACTCTTTACTCGCGATATTTATCCTCCTTATTTTCGCAATGAAACTTTATTAAATGTTTCATTATTGAATGTCATTTACCAGTCGTTTGATTTTAAAGAGCTAATTTTAAGACGTAATCTTCCGACGAAGAAAAACAAATTTATTACAGACGTCTGAAGGGGACGCGCGGGGATCAATGAGAGGAAATAAAAATCGCGAGTCGAGGGTTGATTCGATTCGAGGCACAATATTGCCGAGGAAATAGGTAAGCCGCACGGACCGAAAAGAGTAACCGCAGGGGTTGAGTAACCCGCATTCGCGATTTTGCCGCTGTCGGACATCCGTCCCGTGAGACGTCGCGGTGCGTCGCGCGAAGCGACGAGCGAGAACTTGGCACTTGGTCCCCTTTACTTCCCCGCCTCCCCCCCCCCGCCCCCCCGGTTCGTCGACGAGGTCGATCGACGACAGAGAGCGAGCGGCGCGACTACCGCGTAAACATCTCGACACTGCTTGTTCTCCGACTTGTTCTCCGTCCTCTCCGAGAGGGCCTCACGCCCTCACGTCGCTGCTGTTCGTCGTCGTCGAGCTCGACGCCGCGACTCACCGCCGAGACAGATATCTCGACTTCCACACTTCACTCCGACCACTGTGTTCACTATTACTACTATACTAGCACTGTACTACCAAATTACTACTACTATTACTACTACTGTTACTACTATCACTACTACTATACTACCGCTCCTGTGCTCGAAAACGTGTACTCGGTGTCCCGGAGAATCGGCGAATCGGCTGATCTTTCAGCTCGAAGGGGTACCGGGGGAGGGGGGGAGGGGTGGCGGGGGGGCGAGAGCTTTCGGCTAAACTCCGGAGGGTACAAATGAAATTCTCATGAAATTACATAGCATTAATCGTGTCCCCGTACGCACATGATATGGCTTCATGAAGAAAATTGATCTCTGTTTTTTTTTCTTTTTTTCTTTTTTTTTTTCCATTGTTCTTTCAAAAGATATTAGTTGGGCGGGTTATAACTTAGCGCGAATTCCGAAGTCCGTCGGTAAATGGACTCACAAGGACCCTTTGTCGTATTTGTGATTTATCTCTTTGTGTCTTTTGTTCGTGTTTGGCTACTCTTGACGTGAGTTCAAGGGATAGCATTTAGTTCTTGTTTCATAGTTACGTTGTCCATGTCCATGATCCCGCAACAATCGGGTAATTGTTGTATGTGTGTGCGACAGAACTCGCCGCACACCGTTTGTGCCTAATCGAGCCGTTGTGAGAGCACTATTGTCCGATACGTATTTCTAACAATCAAAGTAGATATTTGATGTTGATTGAGTAGTGTTGATAGACAATACTTTGATGATTGTTAAATTAAATTAAATAATTAGGCGCGATGAAATCGGAGCAAAAATATTGCTGGAAATATAGTAAAAAAAACTTTTTAAATGGTCTTTTCACAGATTCTTTAAAAATATTATGTACACAAGATCATTTTTTTTATAAATCGCAGTTGATTCTATCTATGCATCGAGAAAAAAGCTATGCCAAGGATAAAGAGTATGAAAAGTTCAATTTAATTTTTTATTATTTTTTTATTAAAATGTTACCATAAAATTTATCTTCACGTTCAAATCTTGAAGAAAAGTTTTGTTTGTATCGTGAATACCATTAATTTTACTCTTTAGAGGTTCGACTCCGTTACTATTTAACGAGAGATTTCGTCTGGGCATAGTTAGAATCGTCGAGGGATTGGAAATCTGGGTTAACTTTAGGGATCGCCATTGATCATTAATCCGACGATAAAGAAGCGGCCGAAAGCGGCGAGATAAATGGCACAATGTTGACAAGAGGATTTCTTGCGAAGGAAATCGTACTTTCCAAAATTATGTTCGATCTATCACGGGTGAAATTATTTAGCCGTTAATAATGTTAGAACGACAATTACGATCGCTAAGCTACTATTTAAAAAGTCATAGCTTTTTTTTAATATCGGATTGAAGAAACGATAAATTATTTAAAAATTTTTAAAGCAGATTTTGTTATAAAAAGAAAATGGCTAGAGCAAGAAGCTTTTCAAATCGAGACTGTCAAAAGATTAAAAACAAAGATTTTTCATAAATATTCTAACAATTACGCGTCTCAATCATCATTTATCTGCGCATTTTTCTTTTTAATTATCTTCGCCCGTTAGAAATATCGAGAAATGTAAATCTCGCGATCCAAAAAATGCAAATCTGTCATCGCCCTCGATCGATATTACTATGACATCTCAGATATTCTGACGGCTGAAAATGAACTTGTTGCGTTTCAAACTGCGTCGCAAGCTTTTTTTTTTTCATCGAACATCAGCTGTCATAAATTTCTGAACGTATTCCGAACGAAATCTGCTCGGAACTCGACTCGGATCGTCAGCCAAATACATTTTTCTGTCGGCGGATCTGAGATTCGCGCTGGGTCGCGCGACGTCTAAGTTTAACACCACCAAGTCCCGGAAAATGGCTGCAACGCTATGAATAGCTTCCGTTCTGTAATTCCCTGCCCTCCGGGCAGCTCTATTTATAATGGATTTGGATTTTCCGATGTTAGACGGCTCCTGCCTGAGATTTTTATCCTGCGCTTTTTGTTCGTCGCGCATTTTCAACTCGCGTGAATCTTCAGGTCTTCTCGTTCGGATCACGCGCTCCGAAAATTCGATATGGTATCAAGCCATACGGCGATCCGCGTTAAATACTGGCACGAGTTGCTCGTGCTTAATACGCGTCTATTTATAAAGATTAGAATCAACCATCGCACTTCGCAGAATGGATGAATGGTCTCGGCGCCATCGTCCGCAGCGCTGGAGCGAAATTAAAGGCATAATATCGGACGCGGTTCATCCATTTTTCCAAAAAAAAATGTCGTGGCAGTTTAGATAAGTAATAGAATAATTCGCACAATAATGCTATCTCGCCGAATGATATAACGCTAATTTGTCGATTTCCTTGGTTTGAAAGTAGATCACAGCAGTAACACTGTAATTGCAACTGCAACAATGTCGCAATTATCTTATTAATTGCGAGTGTATTATTTATGCGCGATCATGTATACCTATAGTTGCGAATCGTAACGTAATAATTATATCGTGAGATGTAGAAACGTACGATATCGTGATTACGACAATTCGAAAACATAAAAATTCTTTCGTGCTGGGCATTCTGATTCTCTCGGAATTCTCTCGATACTGACGCGAAATTAGGAGCTATTCAATTGCGCGCGCGAAGGACGCCTTCCAGATTATCCGTGATGATTATTAAGATGTTCCCGCCGCTCCGTGTTCTCGCAACTCGAGGGGAGAACTCGGTGTTGCGTTACTCTGCCCTAATTTAGACGCACCGACGGCGCGACGCCGACGCCCACCGTCGGATTTCGTCGACGCGAGAATTCATATACGCGCCCGCCGACGCCAGCACGCGGCTATAGCTGTGCAAGGCGTCATCCCCTTACCGACATATTGGATTCCCATGGAATTCGCCTGTCGAGAGTTGTAATACGCATCGAAAAAATCCGTCTTCGAAATCTGTGATATATAGGTAATTATTTAAGACGCCAACAACTTGGAAAAATTGAGTTTTAATCTGCTATTCTTCTGAAATATTTGGATGTACAAAAAAAAATGTATGATTAAACCAAATGAAACATAATTATTTATGTAAATGGTTAAAAATAAAATCCTAAAAAAACAAAATTCCAGCAGCGAGATAGCTTTATTTGAGTCATCAAGTATTTTCGTTTCTATGAAACTGTAAATTGTATAATTCTTTTAGCTTACTGTTTACTGTTTTATTTCTTTATCTAAATCTGTTGTATTTTTGATATATTAAGTCTAATAATATGCATAAAATTGAACGAAGTGATATAGTTTCGAAGCAAGAAAATACGCACAGTCAGACATCACACGTCAGAGATCAAAATTGCTTCGAGTTGTTTAATACCGCCTATCGCTATGCCCGTCTTTAAAATGAACATCTTGCAAGTCTATATCGGGATCCACGATGAATAAACGATGCTTGCGCTGTGGCTATGGATGCGTCACTTTATGA